ACACTTAAAAAACCAACAATCAAAACAACAGCTGCAGCCGAAAAAAAAAAATAGTTAAAGAATAAAGCGTTAGGCCTATTATTTGAGGAGTTCCCTGGCGAGGTCTACGAATCTGCGTCAAACGATCTAAAATAGAGTTACGTCTCTTAGAAAATCTTAATGTTTAAAATTGAGTTATGTCCCCTGTATGCATCCAACCTATCTAATAATACATTATAGTTTTTCAAGGGCATATATTCCTTTCTCCCATCCGATTCAGAGACGCAAACTTGTAGTCCAAAACTCGGCATAAAATCGCGACAAAGAAGGCAGAATTTCTTTAGCAGCTATCACAGAATCAGGAAACTATGATTTATCCTATTCACCTTGTTTGTGAGAATCTTATCTTTCCATTTTCAGAATTTCAGACATATGGTGGGATTTGCTATGTAGCCCTCATCTGCCTTGTGCAAGAACAGGGAATCTAGTCAGTTAAAATTATACTGAAATTAAACACACAAAGGCTAAACATTGAGAAGACAAAGACCTCAGAGCAATAGCTTAATAGACTATGTAAAAAAAAACAACCCAGACACTAATGTACAGAAATCTGAGAGAAATAGAACAAATCTGTTCACCCATTGAACTTTTTGGTATACAAAAATTTAAGAAAAGCAGAAGGAACCGGTTTATGAAGTAAACTTACATTTGCAAAGTAACAGCAACAGAATCTACATGAAGAAATTTATTAATACTTAATCTACTACAAGTGACAAGATCTGTCTCAGAGATGAATTTTAAGTATACAAAAATCTGGCAATAGCAACTTAATCTAAGAAATGAACTTTAAGTATACAAAAAGCTAACAACAAAGAGAGAACAAGTGTAGGAACTGAACTGGAGGATCAGAGCAGAACATGAAAAGCACACAGGTAAGCAAAATTATCACTGAATGTCAGAAATATCATGTATGCCCTGTCCTGAGCAGAAGCGTAAGTAGAAACAGCAAAAACCTCAAGAGTCTGAACTTTTAAAACTAGGGAACCCTTAAAACTATGAGTAGAACATGATAAGAGCGAAGTGTTTATTATGTATCACAAGGATATCCACAGAGTTTGGTGATTTAACCGTTTCTGGTTCAACCGTTCCAATTCTTTTTCTAAATTAAAGAGTCTAACAAGAACAGGCCACTTGCTTTTCCCACTGTATTTTCTCAATAGTGAAATCAGGTAAGATAAAAAATGGACCACCGACATCAAGAAGAAACCTCACTTTCATTTCCAGAGAGGAAAGTGTATCAGTCAGAACTCAGAATCTACTAAGTTCACTAAACCCAAAAGAATGTTTACATCAGGAGGTTGTTACAAGCGAAAGAAGTGGAACAAATAGGTGGCCATTGTTTGCGAAGAAAGTAAACAGAAAAAACAGTTAAGTGACATTCACAAAGAGAACTAAAACATCTGCAAAAAAGAAAAAGAGACAATGTCATGGAAGTGAGTGAACACAGTCCCAGCATTGAGGACACACTGTTTGGCACACAAGAACACTTTGGACAATGCAGGTTCTCTATAATAACACAAGAAGCCAAAAACCATGTTTCAGTATGTTCTCAATAACTCATACTGCGAGGAACATCATGCATAAGAGACAGACACATTATGTCAAAAGATTGGAATACACTATTAAACACTTAACCTGCCTTGATAGTAAGAAGACCACACCCCCCCCCCCCCACTACTCACTGAAAAAAATGACTGAAACTATGATTAAAAAACATTCCATCATACATACTCTTATTGTTCTTTGCAGTCCCATTGTTCTTTGTTATTTTTCCAGTCTTTAAGCATGGATTTGAAAACTTTTGTCAGTCTGTAACTTTTGCAGCCCTCATGGGGCAGTAATGCAATTAAAGAACGAACCCCCCACCACACACACACTGTAAGCATGAATGAAAAATGTCAGTCATAAAAAAAAAGTTACAAAAACAAGTATGTGCACAGAAAGAGGTACAAAAAAGCATAACCATCAGATACAGCCCTTATTGAAACTGAAACAGTAGCTCAAGAACGAGGAAAAAGAAGAAGAATAAACAGCAGTAAAAAAAAAATGTAAGCGGACAAAAAAATAAAAATGAGGTACCCCAGACAGAACCCCAGACCCTATTCCCCAGTAGATGCTCTTCTCACAGTTTGATTTGTCAAATTGTAACATTTGTAAGCACTAACAACGGAAACCATGGACATATTTCAACAGTGGGACAAATGAAGAACAAGCAGAAAAAGACAAAAAAAACAAAACAAGGTCTACGCATAGACAGTACCTTGATGTTCGTACAGGCAGTTTACAAATGTATATGGACAAGGTACTTTATATGTATAAGCAGTAAACAAATGCACGTCAAACAGTATATGAATGTACGTATAGAGAAGTTACGAAAGTACATATAAACAGTATATGAATGTACACAGAGAGAGTATACAAGTGTACATATAAACCATATATATGACTGTGACCAGACATGGGTGAGAAAGCAGGCAGGAACAAAATACATGATCCATGACACCAAGCGAAAAGCAAAACAGAAAATTCGGCGGCTAGGCTGAGCATGATAAACCTAGCCTCAGTAAATAGGTGAACTGATAAATCAGGCTGTCTGTGAGAACTTAAAAGAGACAAATAGAGGGTGAACTATGCTCTGCGTGAAAAATTACGTTTAATAAAACAGAGTATGAACTATGTAGTAGTGATATCTTAAGTTTTTATGAGATAAGTAGACTAAGAACTACGTTATAAGTATATTAAAAATTCACGAGAAAAGTAGACTTAATATTATTTAAGATCTTAACTTTCACTTTATATTAAAGATATGTAAACTACAAACTACCGTACCTCATAAGTAAGATCTTAAGTCTCAATAGAAAGGTAGACCAAGAGCTACATTATAAGTAAGAACCAATAAGTGGAAAATGAACACTGATATAAGCAATAACTTAAGTCTTCATAAGATGAAATAACTACAAACTAAGTTATTAGCAAAAATAAAAGTCTCGTTAAAAGAGAGGAACACAACTATGCCACACTCAATCTACAAGAATTATAAGAACAAATCCATTCAGCATAAAAACAGTCCACAGATTATTCTATAAATGCAAACAAAAATATGCGCAAGTAAGTTGAAGTCGATTTCCAACAGAAGGAAAATGAAATTCTCAAGACAAAAATATATTATATCTTTTACGTGTAAGTGAGAATACAAAATGACATCATGATACAAAAGTCGACATTTGACATGATCAACAATTGTTAGCTCTGGCTATGACGCAAAAAACTGCCCGGAATAAATTAGAAGTTTGCAATAGACATTATACCCCTCTTGCTGTCATACTGACTCATCTTGTTAAAGTCCTCCTGACATAGAGTGAAATAGTGGCACTGGCATGTGTTCCAGACTCACACGGACATCATTTTTTAATCTGCTCTCACAAACTTATTTTGTATACTCAGATCAATCACACTAGACACTCTGATGCATGCACGACACAAAATACATATACACACACATGCACATGCACATACACTTACGCACACATACACACACACACACAAAAGTGTACACATAAGTGGGAACATAGATATCACAAGATGACAGTTCAGAGAGTGATCGTCCCCTCTCCACATTCCTGTGGTGAAATAGATCGTCCACTTCCCTCTGTACTGGACATGACTGCTTTGTCCATCCTGAGGTCACACACAAAGCGATGTGACCTACAGCAGAACTTGAGAGTAAAGAAATAAACAACAACATAATAACAACCACATTGGAACAACAACAACACAATGTGAAACAATAACCCGAACAATAACGTCACAAAAACCACATGATAACGATGTTGTTGAAGAGTAGCCTTTTTTGTAAAAAGATTCCAATCATTGGGATGTCTTGGGACAAACAAGCAAAGCCTCATCATCCCCCCCCCCTCCCACGTCTTCCAACACTCAAAAAAAAGAAAGAAAGAAAGAAAATTTAAATAGCTTCTGCTATTGTTGAAGCTTTTTGACATAGAAACACTCTACCATTTTGAAACTGCACCACTGGTCTACTCAACTAAACAGCAGAAACATTCTTATATCAAGCGCTACTCAGAAATCTCAGGAATCTGAAGTTAAAACACCTGGATGACAGATCACGTCCATAAATCATCTCGACCACATGTGTCATAGTGGCAAGGAAGAAAACAACAACAACAACAACAAGGGAACAATGAACAGCTATAATGCAAGCACAATAACAAAAAGAACACAACAATAAGACAAGATTACAGCAACATGAGTTGTGACCTGAGAAAACTGGAAAAACGACAAGAGTCGTTTCTTACTTTAACAAAACATTTCTTTCTCACATTCTCTCCCCCTCTCTCTCTCTCACGCACGAAACAACCATAAATACAAGTTTTCTGTTCCATATACCCCTTTACTCTTCTCTCTTTGACACTCACACACACACTCACAAACACACACACACACACACACTAAACCAAATATACATTCCCCAGAGCAAGCAAAACATACACCCTCCCAATACCATTAGAAAAATCTCAAAACACAACCCCAGATAAAATAGAAACTTGTCAAAAATATTTAAACAATCAAATATTCCGAGTCTAACAAGAGTTGGAACAGCCAAAATGACAAGATAATTTGTCATAATATAATGACAAGATAATATGTCATGATAATGACAAGATAATATGTCATAATGACATGATAATATATTATGACAACAAAATGAAAATGACATGGACTGTCTCAAACCAGCAAAGCCTCACCATCTCTGTATCCTGAACAAAACAGTATAGGTCAATATCCTCTCATAGACATGCAAAACCATAAAACATTATTTCACTCTTGGAAACACATGAGCGCAGTATGGAACAACATACACGAGCGAGAGAGAGAGAGAGAGAGAGAGAGAGAGGGAGAGAGAGAGGGAGAGGGAGAGGGGGGGGAGAGAGAGAGAGAGAGAGAGAGAGAGAGAGAGAGAGAGAGAGAGAGAGAGAGAGAGAGAGAGAGAGAGAGAGAGAGAGACATATTATGTCGAAAATTTGGAAAATTTGAACGTATATCTCAACATCAAGCTACGTGACTTGAAATTAGGCCAGTGCACACACACCATAAGCTCTTTTGTTAATTGCTAGATCACACAAACTGGGAATTAAGCCTCTTGTATAATTTTTGCTCTTCAAAAGATAGAGAGAAGAGAGATAGGAGGGCAAAGGGAATACTGACAACCACCTGAAAAACGAAACTGAGAACCAGTTCACGAATGCTGCGAAATTGTAGGTTCCTGCTGGTCGTCATACTCTGTGTGTAGACCCTGGAGTACCCATGTCAGGGCTTACCCTTCTGTACAAGAGTGCACACCTGATAGTGACCGACTATCTTTACCCTTTTGTCAACTAAACGCACGCCCCAGCGCACCCTTGGTATAGCCTACATAAATTTGGGCACAACTAACTCAAACAAGTAGAAGGTCGACAAATGTGTTTGATGCACATCTATAATTCAGGATAACCAAGAACGAAAAATTAAAGAGGCCTCAGTCGGGAATGGAAAATTGAACAAGCTATCTGTGATTTTGAGTTTTCTGTGTTCGTGTTATCTTTGACTGAATCTAGCAACTGACGTACAGAAAACCAGGTTGCACATGTCCTGTGAGGGGGGGCAATCTCCAGACCCAAACGTACTTTAACAAGATTTTTGAGACTCAAAGGCAACAGGAGAAGCACCAAAAATAACTATAACCTTCACTTCAATATCACTCTTGTTCTGAATTTCTCACAAAGTACATTAGAAAATGTGGATTATCCCCAGACGCTTCTATCTGAGCACATTCATGCCTTGCCAGACCCAAATGTCAAAATTATGTGCTTCAAAGTTCATCATTTCTGCAATGAAAACAGACAAAATCTGTCATTTTCACCAAGGAATCAAAGTATATCTATCAAGGAACCACAGTTCAGAAAAATAAAATGGGTAAACATTATTATTATGCATCTAAACAGCAAATATCTCTCAACCACCAGTGCTATTCAACCATGTCCAATTTTTACCAAAACATCAGAAAAAGTACAATTTCAACTTCAAACTGATCACAGACAATCATCAAATTATTTGTTATGAAAAGACAGTGTAGGGCAGACAGTATTCTGTTTCCATAGCAACCACTTTGAGAGAAACTGTCCTAAACATTGCTCATACAGCTCCCAGCCAATCACAGGTGTTCGAAATATGTAAATAATTATGCGACAAGAGCCAGTAGATGTCTCCACTCATCTCACATCTGCCATGTTCACTTGGTCACATTCACTTGGCCACAGTTTGCCATGTTGTGCCAGTCATGATGCTGAGTTGGCCATGGTTAATTATGTCGTATAGGCCACAAGCTGATCAAGTTCTGTTGGCCCATCCTTGGTCTTGTTGTGTTGGCCATGCTGATTTTCCAATGTTGGTCATCTAGTGTCGGCCAAAGTTGGTCCTGTCATGTTGTCATGTTGAGTAGGCCAATTTGTTGAGCATATGGTGTTGGTCATTTTGACTTGTCAATGTTGCATGTCCAGTTTTGTCGGCAATGTTGTCTGCCATGTCGCATTGACTATGTGTTGTCTGCCATGTTGTGTAGATCATAAGTTGAGTCGGCTATGCTGTGTTGATCATGTGTTTTTGGCCATGTCGCATTGACCACGTGTTGGCCTTGTGTGTTGACTATGTGTTGTCGGCTACGTGTGTTGACTATGTGTTGTCGGCTATGTTGCTTTGACAATGTGTTGAGATGACCATGTTGCGAGGATAATGATCTATCGGCCACGAGTTGTTGATCGTGTCTGGGGTAGCTGTCGGCTGAGGCTCAGGGTAGAAGGCAGTAGACACAGGCTTGTGGGTGGGAGGAGATGGGGGTGGGGTGGTGGAAGGTGGGAGGGGCTATAGGTGCAGCAAAGTGCGCAACTGGAAAAAAACAACAGAAAACAACCAAATAACAGAAATGTTAACGAACATGTAATCAACAATTTTTTAAAATGCAAACACAAAGGAAACTATTATAGTCTCATCCATATAAAATGAACACCCGGCATTTGTGCAACAAAATAAATATCAGATTCGGTGGTAAACAAAATAAAGTTAGAACCATTGTTCAATTTTCCATTTATGGGCTTAAAGGTGCCATCTAATGTTATCAATGGTACTGAAGGACAAGGGGAAGTCATAATTACTGCTAATTTTCAATGCTCTTGGCATCAGTGGTCTAGTGGTTTGGCTGTCCGGCTTGCAATCGAAAGGTCACATGTTTGATCCATTGTGTCCATGGGAAAGACATATAAAACAAATAATCCTTAAGCCATCCGGTGGGAATGGGTATGTGGCTTTGGATGGCGAAAGAATTTGTCAGTGTGTTGCTTTAAGCCGTGTTCAGGTTGTTTCTGAGTGTACTAGGGTCTACTGGGGTCACAACAATAGCTATACAATGCTCAGAGCTTGTTTTCAAACAGGCTCGAGTGTTTCTATAAAAGCTGCCTATTTTCATTAATTCTGAGAGGTTTGTCACAGTGAAACAAAATGTCCAGTGTCATCGCTGATTTTCTGTTTCAGGTTTTCCTACCCTTCAATTCCAAAATAATAAATACTCTCATTATTCATCACCCAACAAATGTAATTTTACTGTCAAAAATGAAAAAAGCAGGATCATGATCTGGGAAATATTGGTAGCTTATTAAGGAGAATCTAATACACTATTCACGCTAGTTACAATCGTAAAGTGCTCAGAGCCTGAGTACTTTAATCTATATGGGGGGGGCTCTATAGTAATGTCATATATCTTATCATCATTATTATTAACCTCATTTTTACATCTCCCTTAGACTGACAGCGACACATTTTCAAACAAGAATATTATATCCATAGAAGCGTTATTATTTCTAGGGTCACTGTGACTGCTGTGTCACTGAGGACACACATATACATCGTTACCTCAGAATTACAAATATCTATCTGCTCAGTACTTAGCTTTTAGAAATTTGACGTCAAGGATTTTAATTTTCATATCACGTCAAACTTTTTAAAAAATACAATACTTTGAAAATCTTGATAACGACTCCGAATTATCTTATGATTTTGATAGAGCAGATTGAACATTTATCTGGTTTTCTGAATTCACGGTCTTAGTAACTCAGAATGGCCAAAAACGTCAAGATAGAACTTTGTAATTCTGAGGTGGCGATTAGCTTCTACTCACATGTCGAATATAGAGCAAGCTGATGATGTAGAGGCCAACAATGATGACCAGTAAGATGTACTGTGTGTAGTTCAGGAATTCCTGGAAAGGCAAACAAACAAACATACATTTCAGCATTCAAAATTATAAGCAAATTCAGACAAAAATACAAGCGCAAAAAAAGTGTTAAGTCGTGTAGACAGTATGAAAATGAGTCAGTCACAATGGCAGATGACGGTGTGAAGCAGAGAGTGAGATAAGAGAGTGTGGAGTGTGAAACAGAAAGTGACAGAGGGTGGTGGTGTGATTTTTAATTTAGTTTTAGTAGACGTTTTACGGCACTCGCAACTGCATAAGGTCATACGAGTGCCAGAAGATTAGAGGTGTTACAAGAGAGTAACAAACAAACACAAAAAAGAAGAAGGGGAGATAAGGACGGTAGATGTTTTTAGTTTTATTAGAGGTTTTACGGCACTCACAACTGCATAAGGTCATATAAGCGCCAGAAGACTAGAGGTGTTACAAGAGGTAACAAACATAAAAAAGAAGAAGGGGAGATAAGGACGATAGATGTTTGATAGGAAAGAAGAAGCAAACCACACCAGAGCACCCGCCAACCACCCACGAAACAGAGAGTGAGATATGGGTGGTGGGGTGAGACAGAGAGTGAAAGTGTTACAGACACTGACAAATGATAACAAAATGAAATAGAAAAAGACAGTGAGAAACAGAAAGTAACAGTGAGAAACAGAAAGTGACTGACAGTGGGACATACACAGCGACAGAAAATGGCAGTGAGAAACAGAAAGTAACAGTGAGAAACAGAAAGTAACAGTGTGAAACAGAAAGTAACAGTGAGAAACAGACCGTGACAAAATAATATGCCCAGATTTTGTCCAGGCAGACAGGCAAGAGGATTTACCGTACGGGAATAACACAAAGTGACAGGGAATTACCAAGAGTAGACCATGGAGTGACTGAGTGACAGACAGATGTACCCAGATTTTGCACACACATATGGGCTTGAGGCTATAGCAGAGAGAGAGACGAACAGCAACAGAAACTAACATAGCATGTTAGGAACTGTCATGGAGTGTCTATGCATTCCAGAGAAAGACAATCTGACAGAGGGTAACAGAGATTGACAGAAAGATGTACCCAGATTGTCTTGGCAGAGTAGCCTCTCATAAATAATAATATTGCAACAGAAAATGGTGGAGAAATTTTCTTTTCGTAAGAGTTTAAGGCACTTGCAACACAATAAAGTCATATAAAGGCAAACAATAGATGTGTTACAAGAGAGTAACATAAACAAAAAAAGAAGGAGGAGAGATAAGGACGATAGATGTTTGATAGGAAAGATGGAGCAAACCACGCCAGAGCACCTGCCAACCACCCACTTGGTGGAGAGTGACAGAGCAGGAAAGAGAGCTATAAAACCAGACAGAGACAGACAAAGAGAAAAGGGGAGTAAAGTTACAGAGACAGACAAAGAGTGACAGAGTGTAAAAGTAATGGACAAAATGTAACAGCAAGTGACAGAGCATGAAAGAGAGCTACAAAACTAGACAGCGTGACAAAGAAGGACGCAGAGAAGAGAAATAAAATCTAGAGACAGAAAGACGTACCCAGATTTTGTCCAGGCAGATGGGTATGAGTATGTACTGCAGCAAAGCCTGTCCTTCCAGAATCCTCCACAGGTAGAAAATAAACACAGTGGTGGTCGAGTGACACAGCTGAAACTGCAGTTGCTGCAACACGCATAGAGAATAAGATTGTTTTAACAACACACTACATTAGTATATTCCGACAAACACATGAACACCCATCCATACACATACACAAACTCACACATATATACACACACAGAAGAAATAATACATCATTACATTCAGACAAACATAATATAGAGACAGCTGGAACTACAGTTGCTGCAACACGCATAGAGAATAAAACTGTTAACCACAAAGGAAACACTACATTAGTATATTCAAACAAACACAAATACACACACACAAACACACACATAGAGGAAACAATACATTGTTACACTCAGACAAACACAAAGACACACACACATACAAACACACACACACACACACATACAGAGAGAATATCACAATCAAACAGAAGGAAACAATACATAGGTTTAGTTTTAGTAAGAGTTTTACGGCACTTGCAACACAATAAGATCATATAAGTGCCGAAGATTAGAGGTGAGACAAGAGAGTAGCAAACATCAAAAAGGAGGAGGAGAGATCAGGACGAAAGATGTTTGAAAGGAAAGGAGCAAACCACACCAGAGCACCCGCCAACCACCCACTGCCGAACAATACACCTGTACATTCAGACAAACACACCACAGACAAACACATAGACACAAATAACCAGAACATACCGAGGTCTCAGGGTCCTTGATGGGCACCTGCAGGGTGTCCTTAAAGTCTCCCACGATCAGGTCCCAGAACTTCCCGGCACAGGCCAGACACAAACCGTAGCAGAACACCTTCCAGAACAGGTACTTCTTGCTGTACGTCTCCCGGAGACCGCCCAAACTGTGACCGTTGCTAGGCAACCCAGTCTTGACCCCGGCCTCCTGGGCCTTGTTCCAAGACGGGAGCTCTTGCTTGTAAGGGTCAAACCGCTTCCATAGATAGAAGAGAATCCCGAAGGAGAGGAACACCCCTCCGATGGCGTCGCACGTCGTGTCAATGTAGTATCCCGCCGTGTTGCGGACGGACTGGAACTGGAGATGCGTGTTGGACTGCGAGCGGTACACCACGCCGTCAAAAGCATCCAGCCAGGTCCGGACCTGGAAGATGACAACTCCGATCCGGCGGTCGTGCAGGTTCTCGGACGCCACAAACTTCCCGGAGAGAAACCCCAGGAAGAGGTGGGTGAAGGAGATGATGTTGGGGGTGATGAAGCTGAAAACGGTGGAGAAGTGCGTGAAGTAGTCGAAATACTCGGCAGAGGGGGAGATGATGTACTGGCTCGTGTGGTCGTTCATGAGCGACTTCACCGAAAGATGCGTGAAGGGTGAGTACAGCTCTGACGGGTCTCCGGCCTGCGAGTCTTGAACAATATCCACCGTGCGGAACCTCATGAAGAGTATGATATCCATGACGAAGTAGTAGGCCAGCAGGAGCACGGCGAGGAAGATGCACGTGCTTTTGGCATCGCGGAACACGCCCGAACCTAGGAGAGCCATCTTGGAGGGTCCCTCACAGCACACGCGCCGACAGCAGCTGGGGGGAGGGCTCCAGTAGGCGGTCAGCTGGGGGCACGGACACAGGACACAGGCCGCCGATCTTTGTCTGGGGGAGACACACACACAAACAAACACTTTAAGACAGTGACAGAAAATGTCGTTTTAGTAAGAGTATTAAGGCATTTGCAACTCAAAGAGGGAATACATGTGTATTAGTGAGGAAAAGAAGAGGTATGAATAAAGCAAACAGTAACATACCCTAATATATATTATTATATAAGTAAATTTTAAAAAATACATAAATAATTAATAAAACCATTCAACCAATCAATCAATCAATAATTTAAAAAAGAGAGAAAAGGACGAAATATGTTTGATAGGAAAGCAGGAGTATAACACCAGAGAACCCGCAACCAGTCCACAAAAGGTTTTTCTGCGTGCATGTTTTTTCATCCTCATGATTCAAAACTCATTTTCAGAAGAAATTCACAACGAGCAACCGTGCTCTGTCTGTGAAATAGAGCGATACAGTAAAAGAAAAGTTCTTCGCTACGGTACTTTTCTTGAGTAGACTTTCACACACGGCGACACAAGGCGGTCTGTATGGCATGCCCTGCGGTCAGAACAATCGATTTTTGTCTTTTCTGTGAGATTTGCGAGAACGCCTGTAACATCGTGTTATAGCGTCTCTCCAATGCATGGGGTTAATTCTTTGTTTTAGAAAGATTTTTTTCTACGGCACTTGCAATACAGCTGGGTCATATAAGTGCCGAAGATTAGGAGTTACAAGAGTAACAAACACAACAAAAACGCAGGAGAAATGAGGACGATAGATGTTTGATCGGACAGAAGAAGCAAGCCAAACTAAAAACAAAAACAAAAAACAACAAACAACAGCAAATGTTGCCGTACACATTGAACCATCGTGCAAAAATCGAAAACAAAAATTTGCATATTTCCTTTTAAGAATGCATGTTGTTGCTTTCCTCTTTTATATTTCAGACAAAGAAATCACAATAGAAATATTTTTTTAGAAAAACATGTTTGGATAAAGAAGATCGGCTTTTGGTGCGATTTTTTCGTGTTTTTGTTTCTGCTTTCGCTTATTTTTTTTTAAACGCGCCACAAAAGCAAGCAATTCTTCAGGCGTTGTTGAATAGCTAGAATGCAAGTCCTCAATGGGTTTTCAAAAACCCACAAAAAGCCGGCAACAAATGTTGTGTCGGGGAGATAAGAATTGGGGTTGATGTGAGAGACGGCACAGATGTACATGTAGTTGTGGGTGACTCAGCAGTCATGGGGGGTTTTGTGGTGAATAATGCAGTCGGACGGCTAGTGAGAGTGTGAGAGTGTACCCCCGATGATGTATACACACACACACACA